TAACAATGGTACTAAATACATCTGAATATTTTGACTGTACAAGTGCTTGTTGTTGTACTTCTTCGACACGCACCAGACATCGTAACCTTTAACCCACATAAATATATGATACGAAACTATTTCATAACTTCTAACAAAATAACTGTTTAGCTTTCTGGCCACCATCTTTTTACAGCCAAGGACAAGTGTGAAACTTTACCCTAAGGTTGTGATAATTTAAAGGTCAATGGCTTGAAATGTTGATTCTTCTTATCTATAAATTCGTTTTTGTTTTACTAACTTAATGTATTTGTCATTTTCAAATAAATTTTAATTTCTTGCTTCTCACACTAGAATATTTCTTGTTAGGAGGACTCTGTTCTCATTGAGTCATATATGACTTTGTGTCCACCAGTAGCATATTTCAGAGATGTGGCATGTCAGGGAGATGTTATTATGATTAAGCTAATACATAATTCAGAATACTTGATGATATCTTTACTATTAGTTGGAAGATAAAATTGGAAGAAGAAAAATTTTTGTCATCTTATTACATTTGAAGTTATTTCTTCCTATTGCTAAATTGTCTAGCAGTTGTACATCACAACTTTACTTCACCTTACAAATCATGTTGACTGTGGTGATTAAAACAAAGAACTTTACATTTCTGTATGTTTTAGATTCTAAGCCGATGTATATATATGCCTCGGTGCTTCAACAAAAGAATATTCTTCAGCCATGTATATGTTCTGGGTGCGATTCCCGGCCAACGAAATTCTAAACTTCGCCTAGTTTACTAGTCAGCAGTAAGCCCGAAATGGAAGGGAGGTCGGGGATGTGAGATAAGTAGTCCCACCCCGTAATAAAACAGCAACACTACCACTACTGAAACTCGAAGACTTCAACTCAGTATGCAGTGGAATGGAAATGTTGTAGATTCTAAGCACATATATATATATTCTGCTTGGATCATCTGTGAATTTTCCTTGCAACTTGAGGGTTAAGTCTATCATTTTAATATTACTGTTTGAATTTAGTTACCCAAAGCCAATTTCTCTGATATACCACACTTATTACGTCACGATTAATGACACTATTTTGTTGTCCAGACTGAAGTAGCAGCACTCAAACCTGCTTAAGTGTTACTATTTTTAACCCGATGGTGGGTTACTAGCATCATGCCCAACCTTCTCTCTTTACCAGTCGTACTACTGGCTTAGCGAGGTAAAAGTGTGTTGGCCGGCGATCGGACGCCTGACCACATGCGTGGTTGGCGAGTACTCTACGGCTGTGCTACTGACGTGATATTAATGTTGAAAATTAGGATCTTGTTCCTTGAAGTGAGTGAGGTATATCTCCACAGTGATTCCAGAGTAACTAACTCCTGTCTTGCATTTCTGCTATGATCCTCGCCGTGACATGCCTATCCGTGCGGCTTGTAGTTGAAATAATTCTGCTTGGCAAGGTATTTGAAAGAGGAGACTTCCCTTAGATTTCTTCCGTCGACAGTACTTGGTATGTGTTGTTGCCCAACGTTTCCTCTTTCCTGAGCCAGGAAAGGTTAAAGAGTGCGTCAGCCGGGAATCAAACGTGGACATTATGCATCATTGGCTAGCATTCTACCATTGAACCACCAACGAGTTCCCTATGGGTTTGGGACCCTTTAGCAGTATGCACTTGTGACTCCACCAGCGATCAAACCCAGAACCTGATAGTTATCAGGCTAACCACTAGACTACTGATCTACTGGAATTATTACAGAGTACTTAGTTTATTTTATGTAAGCATAAGTATCATGTGAAATAGAAGCAAACTCGTGATTTGAAAATTACGCAGTTGGAGATGAGAATTTACAACAGTTTCCATTTGAAACAAAAAAAAGATAAACATCACAGTATGTGATTTGTTTGATACTATAAATGGTAATTAAGACAGCAAGCAAAAGAGCATGATTGTATGTATTACTAACTGATATGATTCCTTAAAAACCGAAAGTGCCAGAGAGTAATTCTTGATAGTCAAATCAAAGGGATCTAAACACCGAATGACCGTTTATCTATTTTTGAATAGAACTCATTACCAGTGTACCCGATGGCTTTCTTGATAACCGCGAAATTCTCACCTCAAACTGTGTAATTTGTCAGTAGTGAATTCGATTCTAAGCATTAATAGTTCGCTAAGGCAGCTAGCAAAAATTAGGCTCTCTGAACTGGGCCAATCTGAGTAGCACACCACTGATAAACTTAGACTGAAACTAGCGGAAGGATTGTCTGGGTAGCGAACATAAGAATTTGAAATGTTTGATTTTCAGCCAGTAACATATATTTCATGCTTGTGATTGTAGGGAGATTTGTTTTCAGTCATTTCAGTATCTCGGTTATAATGATTCGAGAACACAATACGCAAACAAATACATATTTTGTGTGATTTCTTTTGAGGCTATACGAATACATATCAAAATTATTAAGCATTGACGTTTGATAGCAGCGTGGTAATTGTTGTCGTTATCAGTGTGACCACCTTGATTATTATCCACTGATTCAAACATTAGAACTGTAATTCTACTAACCAAACTGATATCACCAGATGTCTATGTATAGTAATTTTATTGTATAGGTGTAAGTACTGATAAGAAATTAGCAAAAATACATATTTGTCTAAATCGTGTTGTCAAATTAGTTTAACTTTTCTCGACAGTAAGTAATACGAACATTTTTCGTATCAATAAAGCAAATTAGGAAGAAGATGTAACTCTTGTAGACTTTATAGTTAGTAAATATTGTCAACTTTAAGTGAAGTTATCTTCAAATAATTGAAAATTTTAGTGTGATCATCAGCTTATATCTCCGACTAGTATTTGTCCTCACAACCAACCAGTTGGCCTTCAATAGTCACGACTTCTCACTGAAACTCCAGTCACTAGCAAGAATCAGATTAATTTCTATGAATTGTTAGGAGTTGGATATAATTGACCATTGGATTCTGTTTCAGTGGCTAAAATGGTCTACAAGGTCGCCTCGTAATCAGAAGGCTCTAGGTTCGAACCACAGTGGGTGCGAAGTGCTGAATAGTCTGATATAAGGAAGAAACAACTAACCAACCAGTACTCTCTGGTTCTCTTTTAATGATCAGACTTGATCCCTACAAACTAAATAGTGAAAATAGTCAATTTTTGACAGAGGGAAGTATTTACCCAAACTGCAAAATATAAGAAACTAACTATAATTTAGCCGAGTGAAATACAGGAAATCTATAATCTAATGATTCGCACTGAAAAATATACGCTTGGAGAACTACAGAAAAAGATTATTAAATAATAGTTTATAGAAATGGAGCACCGCAAAACATTTTGACGGATTTTATTTATACATCAGATTGTATTTACCAATTGCAGGGAAAACTAGGCAGGGAAAATCTGTTAAAAAGAAATCCCATCTCTCTTCTTAGAAAATTAAGTTTTCAGCTTTCCACATGAAGCAAACCTTTAAAAGATCCCTGCTTTCTATTAGAGGTATGAAGTCCAGTTTCATACAGAAAAAAAACACTGAATAAGGTGAAATATCCTAGTGGAAACAGTTTTCTCAAGAACCAAATATATAAAATTTGAAACTATAATCTGCTCGCTTGAAACTCAAGGAAGTTTTTCAAAATGTGAAAGGAGACATTTCAGTGGAGTGTAGTATTAATTTATTTTCAGTAATGATTTAGGCTTATATCTCTACAAAAAGCCCCAGGTTCATTTAATATAGCTACATAAAGACTGTGGAAAGAATTAATAAGTTTAGATCGAAAGAATAGTTCATTGTGAACGACACAGGCGACACCATGTTTCAATCTCTATAATCCTACCATAAACTCATGCATTATTATATTCAAAGTAGAGTTACGCATGGTAACAATCTGATTGCTTTCAACATAAAAAGTTAGGTAGTCGGCAAGATGAGGGTGAAATCTGGTATATGTGTCTGTGTGCTTTTTATAGAAATACTATGAAGGCTCAACATATCAGATCCCTAAACACGACAGATTAGGATGAAAGTTTCTTCAAGTGAGTGGATCTTTTCAATGTTTTTAGTCATCATATTGATTTAATATTATTTTTTCAATAATTTGATAATTCCAATTGTAGCATTAAGAACACGATATTCAACGAATAGACTTTTTCCAACGAATTTACTATCAAGCTGTATAATCGAATATATACATGGTTATTTTTTAAGAAATTATATCCGGTGAGGGAATTAGATCAAAAGTGTGAACACATTAAATAATAGTAGTATGAAATGCAATTAAAATATTTGTGATTATAATCATAGTTATATGTCAAGTAGCAAAACAATTAACGTCATATTTGGAATAATACATATGGTGTATAGATGTCGGAAACGGGTGCATAATTATAGGATTAGTAGGCGAATATGAAATGTTACGTGATATGGTGTGAAATTCGATACGATAGAACTCAATATTGTAAAAATAAAAATAATAACAATTTTCTATGGTGAATTGTATAGAAGGACGGCAGCTGTTGAAAGCATTGAAGACATCATCAAGAATTACGTCATTATCGCAGATAACGAAAGTGTCATCTACGTATCTTTTATAAATGTCGAAATGATCGATGGTTTGACTAAGTTAAGAGTTTTCAAGCTCTGTCATAAAAAAATCAGCCAGCAAAAGACCCAGTGGTGATCCCATTGCAATGCCATCTCTCTGTCTAAAAATCGCATTATTGTAGGTGAACTGAATATTCAATATGCATCTCACTAAAAGTTCTTTGGGGTGGACTGTCGGTAACCCTATTTCTAAACTATGTGCATCAATATAATCACATATATAGAAAACAGTTTCCATAAGAGTTACATTGGTAAGTAGCGAAGTCACATCTGAAGAGAAAATAACTTTGTCTGAGACATTAAAATTTTTAATACTCTCAATAAATTTAAACGTATCATCAGTTGAAAACATTATTTCTAAATGTATTTTATCTTTTTCCGTCTGTATCATTCTTTTTCTTCAAGTTATTTAATACTTAAAGAAGCCTATCAATGTCAAAATCAACATAAATTTTGTTATGGTTGTATATACACATGGTCTACAGGGCCTACAGCTGGTCATGACAGTTGTCCAGTATGCAGATGTGATGGTTTATATGCTAAGAATTTTGAGGTAAGTTGTATAATTCTTATTATTTTTTTCGAGTTATTTATCTATATAAAAAGTATAAGTTATCATAGCATTGAAATTTAAATGATTTTTAATTCATGAGTAATCCCCCGTCAGACATTAATGAAACAAAAAACACGCTGTTCAGCGAAGAGGCTTTTTTCGGTAAATTCATGTTTCTTTTTAGTTGTACAATCTCATTTATATACTCCTGATTCCCTAAAAGTGGAACTAGGCCTTCTGAAAGAAAACTTTCTTTCGAAATGGATATCCACCAAGATTCTCATTGACAGGAATATCAAACAGAAATTCAGAGAAACGAAAAATTACTTGTATCACCAAAAAGAAACTTTACGTGAACCTGGATTTCAAAGGAGACTTAACGTGCGATATACTTAAGAGAGGAATTTAATCATTTCTGAGAAGAATATTCTTCGCAACAATGCCAAGAGTAGGGTTCTACAGTCGTCCATTTCTCTGTAGTAGCCTGAATAACAAAATCTCGCATCTGACTTCTTCTGCATGCATGTATCAGTTTATCTGTTGCCGCGGAGCCAGCTATATTGGTTGTTCGACACGTGTTTTGTCTAAAAGGGTTCAAGAACACTGTCCAGCATGGTTGCAAAATGGCAGCAGTGACTCTACATGGAGTGTGATATTTGAACAACTTATCAATACTAACCATTCCATCTCAACAAACTCCTCTTTTAAAGTATTCTACAAAGTGAAGAATAACCTACCAAAGGTATTACGCTTGCATCTCCCCTGAGCATTGCTGAGGCCTTGGCCATTTATTTAAAGAAACCTGAGCTATGAATAAAAAAGAAGATTATTTAACCACCTTTACGATCGTGCTAAAAACTATGTTGATTTCTACTGTCTTGACTTTTGTTTGTTTGTTTTTTTAACTCCTCATAACTCTTGTATTTCTTGAGACCTCTTGAACAATTCCATATTTTCCTTCCTTCCCATGTCCATACTGATTACAACTCATTCATTCCGCCAGGCGAGATAATGTTCTTTTACTCTTTTGGATAAAACACACATCGAACGACCTACATATCTCGCTCCACATGAGCAAGTAAATTGGTAGATACACAGAAGTGGCCAAATGCGATAGTTTCTCTTTGGAGTTGTTGAAGAACAATGGGTGGCTTGAGAATACTGATCGTAATGTAGCGGCAGGGAATGTTCTTTCCAGGGCGTTAGATATTCTTCTTTTTAAGATGTCAGCAAGGTCACCTATAACACCACATTCATGTACAGCATCTTGATAGAGCTTGGCTACGAAAAGGTAACAGTGGGTCAATAAAGAGTGCTATAATTGAACATATAGTCAACACTGGTCACTCAATATGCACGGAGAATTCATTCTAAATCATCTACAAAGTCAAAAAAGGCCTCCCGTTGAAAACGGTAAGCTTCCGTATACTTAACATTTCCGAGGGCTCAGCGATCCGGATAGAAAGCGCTGAATTATGCACACAGAAGAAATTTCTCCAGCCCCTCCTCCTACCTTGGGTATAATTCCAAGTTCTACACTTTGTTAATAATGTTTTGTTTCCTATTTTGTTTTTTGAATTTTTTTATGGCATCTTAGTGACATCTTCTTAGTTAACCCTTCATTTACTCTTTCTACCTATTACATAATTTATCTTCTGGAAACGTGTCCCCATTGACATCCTATTTCATATTACGCAAGCCCTTACTTACTACTTACTTACTTACTATTCTTCACCCACCTGCCTCCTAGTTACAATCTTGATTACTCATCACATTTTGGAAGCATTTTGATGACGTAAACAGTAACCCTAACTAATTTTCATTTTTCTTTGACAATCCTAATGTCCACACACACACACTCACACAATAATTATATATAAAAGCAATTGTACAGCTAAGTGAATGAATTCGCCGGCAAAAAGAGACTCTTCGCTGAACTTTGTTGTTCTTATATTCATGTCTGGATGGGTATTTTCGTTGAAGAAAAGCCCCTTTGATGAACTACGTGTTTTGTTTTCACGATGAATTTTATATTTAAAACTAATGTGTGAAACAAAATTTCTTTGGGTTTATTTTATTATTACTACACTGAATAGGAAGGCAGCAAAGTATTTCAAACGGCTACTTAGAGCATTTTTTATGAAACTATGTTAAATATCTAACAGATGTATCCTCTAAGGTAAGACTATGTTAGATAACTGTGGTCAAGTCTGACCTGATCTTTCGCCTAAAGGAATAATAATGACTTCTGATTGTCATCATCATGCCGAAGTAGCTTCTTTTATTCCTTCACGTTCCCAGTGGAACATAAGGCTTCAACCTACAGGCTTGAAGTTTCTGTACCCAGGTTTATTTTTATAGGATGCGGTTGCTAGTCTCATGCCCAACCTTCCCTCTTTGCCAGTCCTATTACTGACTTAGCGAGGTAAAGGAGTGCGTCAGCCGGGGATCGATCCCAGCACCATGTGCATGGTCGGCGAGCGTCCTAACCGCTGTGCCACCGACGCATGCCGAAGTTGCCATACAGCCTAAATCAATCACTAATGGAGGTAAACTTTCTATGAAGTATAATTTTCAGGAAAGTATAATTTCAAAATGTATACTATGAAGCCAGCTAGTAATTAGAGTGATTGATGTATCAAGAGAGATACGTCATCAAGATCCAGGCAGAATGACTGAAACTTTGTGCAAAGTGATTGAGAAGGGAGTGATCCAGTGATGTTGACAGATAAGTGGTAAAGAGACAGGAAGTATTTTCAAAGATTTAGAGAACGACATATCTATTCATGGTTAAATATTCCACAAGTCTAAATTTATTCCTTTCCGGACCGATGTATTACTTATTGTTCTACACTTTGAATATTCAAAGTCAAAATGGAAATTAATTGACATTTCTCTGATAAATAAGAATTTTATTTATTCCATTGACTTCAGAGTGCAGTATAAGGCTCCAGCTTTGCTGAATTTTCAGTAGCGCTAGTGTAGTTTATACAGGGTGGAGTCACCAGCCTCAATCCTAACCTTCTCTCTATTTTGAGGAGTTAATTTCAGCCAGTAAACTACGTGAGTTTCAGGAGTTCTTTAGAGTGGGGTCGAACCCTGTCCCATCACTGAACAGCAGATGCATATTTATTTGATCAGTTAAACAATAGGATGATATTGTTTTCTTTTTTCTTTTCTTTTTTTAAAATTTTCAGTTAAATGATCGCATCAATAAAAAGCGTGTTCGTTGTCCACAGAGTCATTGTAATTGGATGGGTATGTTAAGCGCATATCATGAACATGAACACAGACGTTATAGTCCATATGAATTAGATTTATTATTAGCAGATTGTAAAAAGGATAATATCAAGTCATTAACATCATTATTGCCATTATCAACACAAAATCAAATAGGATATAATGAAAAAGAATTATCAATAAAAGTGAATGATTCATTACAAATAAATGAAACAAGTGAGACAAATAATCAACATTACCGCAATACTGATAATCAATCTAATCAACGTTATTTAGATCCTGGAAGAGTACCTAATGTTTGTGAACCAATCAATCAAATAACAGAGCAGATAAATGAAAATTCAGTTGAAAGATTATTAACTACACAAAGACGAATAAGACCTTTAAGAAATGATAGTCGACATAGATTACAATCTTCAATGAGAATTCAAAATCGACAACCTTCCCATTCACGTAACTGTTTAAATCAAACAGAAGATAGTGGTGAAGGTGTGCGAAGACATACACTTGGTAATAATAATCATTTGTCATCTTCACAAGGAAGTAATAATCAGGTACATTCACAAGCATTACACAGAGGGCACCACCACCACCCCCAACAACAACAACAGACATCTACAAGTGGACAAAGGCAACTAAGATCACATGAAACACCAAGTACACCAATGCATAGAAGTAATTCTCATACTAGGTTAAGACCAACGCCTATTATAAGAGATACTCGAAATCGAGCTGAAAGACTGCCTAATGTAAGGAGACTACGAAGATCAACGTGTGATGATAACACAGGACAACAACGACCTGATAGTTCGCAATCTACAGAATGTCGAAGTGAGAATAGTCAGTCTAGTAGTCGGTTAGATTTTACACCGAATAATAACAATACTGGAAGTCAAAATATAGAAGCAAGTTTGCTGATAGATAGGACAGAAATGAACAGAAATGAACAAAATATAAATATTTCTAGACTTTCACAAGTTAATCTACCAGCAATTAATTCTAGTGAAACAATTCCGGCTAATTCAAATACACACCAAGGGATAAGTAATAATAATACTCAGTCATCATTCCAAAATATCAACTCATTCAATTCAATTCCACGAATCCGTCAACCACTTGAATTTCGTCGTTTAGTACCTCGAAGACAACGAAGAGTAGTTGAACAGTTGAGAGAAACTCGTGAACAATTAGCTGCTATGCTTCATCTTATGACTATGGAATTAGAAGAAAGACAAAATCGTATTTTGAATACTGACCTAGAAATAGGTAACCGAAATAGATTATTAAGAAGTCAAAACAATTTATTTCCTTATAATGATAATAATAGTAATAATAATCAAAATATGTATTCAGAAGATACAACAAATGACGAATTTCTTGGAGTAAACAATCAAAATACATCCTCGAGACATGTGCATTCACCTAGTGCCAGGGAAAATGATAATCAGTCGAATTATTATACTAATCAGTTACGTAATATAAGTACACCTACTTCAACAATGAATAACAATAATAATAATAGTAGTAATAATAACAGAGATGTATCACGTACACTTTTGACACCAACATATAGAGTGCAGACAACTACAACTACAGGTGGTACTCATACAGAACAGATGAATACTAATAATAACAACAGATATGATACTATACCTACAACAACAACAGTGAATAATGCTCATCAATCTTCTGCTTCGTCATTGACATCAACATCAAGATTATTAACACGTTTACGAATTAATACACTAGCACAAACAAGAACTCCATCAAGTTTATTTACACCGCATAATAGAAGTATATATCTTGTTAACGAAAACAATGAAAGACAAATCTCCATACGAACAAGAACAACAACTTCGTCATCATTCATGACAGGAGACAGTAGTAATGATGAAGATGAACAGGATAGTGATGATGAAAGCAGTTGCTAGTCTCATTTGTTCAATGAAATAATATTCACAGACAATATATGCGATCATTATCAATGCATCAATGTAGTTAGATAATTAATTAATTAGTGAATGAATGAACAGAGAAAACGTATATATAAACCTATACAAGAACCAACACACGTGTCTAGATAAGATTCCTTTCTATACAAACAAATTAACATTATATACATAATTTACTACTTACAATGTTTGAGTGTTTCGTTTCTTTTTTTTACAATATTTCAAACAAAAAATAAATATAGATCTCACTTTCTTCTCCAAGCAAAAAATATGTAGTCATTTGATGGATAGCCACTGGCAGTGGAATTTAGGATATGAATGAATTTCGTCCTATTTGGGACTCATCACCAGCCGAATCTATCACCTGTAGTCTCCAGTGAGTGGTGATGCTTCCACATAGAAATGAACTGAGTACTCACCATTTCAAATGGCAAAATGTTATCCATTAGCCTACAAGAGCAACAAGTGTCAGTTCTTATTTCTTTTTTAAAAATTCAGTTTTAATTTTCCTGTTGACTGATTGAACGGCTCTCGTAGTCCAAGTGGTTTAGTGGGTAACGCTTTGGCATTTGAAACGATGGGTACTGGGGGTTCGAGCCTCAGTGGGAGCATCATCACTTACTGAAGAGTGAGGGTACATTAAGCTGACAAGTCCCACATAGGAGGAAATGCATATTCGGCAATCCACTGCTAGTCACCATTCATCAATTTACTTCAAGTTAATCCTCAGACATCGTTAAAGCGTCCTCACTAGGAGCTGACATGTCAACGGAGGCCGGGAAAATCAAATCAAAATTATATATATACTATCGAATATGTATATTACATAGTAATTACTTCACTTCATTCATTGTATAAAAGAAATCGTAGAAGGAAGAATAGCTAAGCAAAAGTTGTTTGTAGAATGAGAAGTTATTTATTGCAAAAAAAAAAGTCAACCACTCTTTAACATGTTAGCCAAGTGTTCATCACAAAACAGGATGACTTTAGGTATCTTATCAAGAAAAGAAATACACCATTGCGTTGACTGACAGAAGTGAACTGGTTAGTTTACAAGTTTTCACACAAATTTAGGAGAAATAGGAGAAAAAAGAGATTCAGCAGAACTATTAGGGGCAGAAATGTTTGGGAGAAAAAAACAACCTTATAGTAAGATGGAAAAACATGAGGATTTCATGGAAATGGGATATCATACACAACAAGAGTAAAAAGTGGAACTGCACCACTGCGAAGAATTTTTAGCCATAACACCAATATTCACCAGCCATTGGTTCTTAGCATTCCAAGGATAGCAACCAACGAGGCCAGCTCAAATCAACAGTAGAGACGACTTTATAGAATGATGCCAAGTTTTGGTTTGACCACCTCTAACTGTTTTCCAGCCAGCTGAACAGTGACAGACATGAACAACGCTCGCCGACCATGCACACTGTCCGGGGATTGACCCCTGGCCGACTCATACCTCATATCAATGGTCGGCCTGCGGGAAATTCCATACCTGTATCAAAAATACTGCGTGGAATCAAGCCATAATAAAATCTACAAAAAAATACAATTAATAACTAATACTTAGTATTCATTAGTTCCACAGCTGATAAAATTATCTTCAAATAACTTTTAAATACTCATATACAATCCATACGAATATCAACAGTTTTAGTAATGAATGTATCAACAACAAATGATTAAGCGGAGAAGTGGTTACTTTTCAATTAGATTCTCGTGCAGGCCTCTACTCTAATACATGGCGATTTAATTATAATACAGAAATTAACCAGTCTAGAGGTGATAAGATTGATCACTGATTGATGTTGGTTAGGGAACCACTGAAAACTAGGGTGTACTGAAGAGCTCTTCTGATCCTCGTCTGGGACCTGACGGTAGTATGTATTCATGATCCCATCGATGATCAAACCCAGAACTATCAGCCTACGAAGTGAGCTCGTTGACCATTCAGCCATTAGGATAGAATTCAATGACTCATGAATTCTAACTTCTGCCACTTGACGATTTTTATCACCACTGCCAATCAGTGTCACCGGCAAGTATTTGTGTTCATACTTGACCTGATGAACTCCACTGGTCAAGGAGAAGATAGTCTCTCCAAATAACTTGAAAGTCTTCCGGCTGGGTCATAGGTGTACAATGCTGAAGAGTCCCAAACTAGGACGCAACAGCTACCCAGTGCTCCCTTGTTTTTCAGCGGTTCTCTAAATGATATCAACTTAAAACCAATCAAATCGCTACAAGTTAACACTTGAGAAAACTAGTGATAATAAGTTTACTAACAATAGTTAGACAAATATTAACATGTCAAAAGACGTGATAATTATTTTTGTAATTCTGTAAATTGCGGTAGTAATAAGACTGTTATATATGCTAGATTGGAGGTATACACGAGGATGTAATTTAAAAGTAAGTATTGCTTCGCTTGATCCTGCTGTCTCCTAATTTCTAAAAGAGGATTTTCGCTACAGCGATAAGTCACGTAAGCAGATAATTACTTATCGATAACATTGGTTGACGGTCGCACCATATATATCACGAATTGGCCAAAGTTGGGTTTCAGTGGCTGAATGGTTCGTACTTAGGAAGAGTCCCAAGCTGGGACGAAACAGCTGTCAAGTACTCCTTGGTTCTCCAAAGGATGTCAGCTTGTTATCAAACCTGTAATCAATCAAATCCCTGCAAATTTAAGATATTTTAGGCCTTTTATCACAAGCTTTTAGTAAATTAGCAGCAGAAAAGACAATTTTAGATCTACCAATTATTTATTAGTACAAAGTTTGTTTCCTGTGGTATAGAAGTCTCGCGTTATCAACTATTGTAGAAACTGAACAGTTGGCCACCACATTATCTTTCATGCTGAAAATTATACTTCTAAACCAAAATGTACTTTTGATTGGACACTAGTCAGTAACTAGTGAAATGTGTGTGCCTATTCCAATCTTTGGTGCAGACTGAATTCTATCCGTCAAGTTTGCAGTGTGGCCACCACACTAGGTGGCTCACCATCACGGTGCACATTGATTTGTTGGTATTAGATGGTTAGAGGCAATCGGCAGGAAGCCATGCTCGACATAGGTTTCGTGCTAGTTGGCAGTCACCATTCAGCAAGGCGTATCTGCAGCCTCGAAGGAACTCATGTCCCTTCTGAGATTCAAACCTGTGCTGCAGTTAGAGACGTTACCACTGAGCTATTCGGGATCGCATTTGACCTCCTGTAGGTTGTATTGGACTAGACACACACATTACACTAGTTACTGACTAGTGTCCAATCAAAAATATCCAATACAGTTCTACAAGAGGACAATCACGAGGCCACTGAACAGCTCAATGGCAACGTCTCTGACTGCAGAACTCACTGGGTGACGCGAGTTCGAATCTCAGAAGGAACATGAGTTCCTCCAAGGTTGCAGATATGCCTTGATGACTGGTGAGTGCCAACTAGCACGAAACCTATGTCGAGCAGGGCTTCCTGCTGATTGCCTCCAACTATCTAATACCAAACCAAAACTGTATAAGAATGGTATTGTAGATACCAACAGCCCTATCTTTATGGATTAAACTTGTCTGGTACATTAATATTTAGCCAATTAACATAAGTTTAAATGATCAGGTTAAATAACTGCAGGGATCATAACGCATTTTGGGGGATCATAAGTTGGCTTGACTTGTTTCACTGGCCGTTTTTAACGATAACAACCTTGAAGAAATCAGATAATAAATGTATAATTACACAATCCTGACTGGAATATGACTACGTTTCCAATGAGATATGGTCACAGAACAGTAAGTCCAAAGTTTCTACTCTATGCTTTATACTAAAAGAGTTTGTTGCAGAAGATATCCAATAAAAAAAACGCTCATCTATATCGAGTTTTGCAGTTATTGTTCTCCATATAAGTGATGCTACTTAGAAAGTCATAGACAAACAGCATCTCAACTACATGTGTGGTGAGAGCTGGCTGCAATCCAAAATTGTGGACAGCAATTTACGTCAATGCTACGTCCCAAATAGGGGTCATGAGAAAAACAATAACAAAGGTTAACCTTGAGGAACTCAACAACCAATCACGGCAGACCTAACGTGTGCAAATACCATTCGCAAATACATGACTTAACTTTCTGAGAAACGGTTACAAGCAGTACAGAATAACCTTCAGCAAGAAAACAACCAATCAGAAGACATTACCTCTCCACTGACAATGATGTACATAAAACTCCATAAATACCTCTTGAATTTCTCAATAAACAATCTGTTGCCTGGCCCTCGTCTTCTGTCGTTACACATGAATAACCAAAAATTTAATAATTACTAGGTTTTGACTATTAATTATTAGAGGGAATTTAAGCATCCATGATTGGAAAAGAAATTTCCCATAGTAACTAGCAGTTTCTGAAGACATAACGTCCAATTTTTCGTAGATTCACTATTAACCTGGAAGGCCTTGCAAACGGCCAAAACGAAAATCCGTAGAGCTTAGACCTTTTATAACCAAACGCGGATGTAAATACCGCATACAAGTGCTTTGAAGAGCATTAAATGTAAACCTTTTACATACCAGTTCTTCTGGTATGTATCATCAGTATCTTATTTGACTTTGACGGACTGGTTTCGACACTTGACGGTTCACTGACCGACGATAACAATAGATCATGACTTGACGAGTAAAACACATTTTTGGGATACATTTACATTCTCATAATTCAAAGTCAATTAGACTAAAGGAATTGCTAATAAGCAGGAGGTAGTCGGAGTCAGTTTCATCGACATATTTGGCTGTGATGCATATTTTTTTCCTTCAAGTTCCCCAGTCGAACATAGGGTTTCAAGCTAGAGGCTTGAAGTTTCTGTAGCAGTATTTATTTTACAGGATGGGGTTGCTAGCCTCATGCCCAACCTTTCCTCTTCACCAGCACTATTTATGGCTTAGCGAGGTAAGGGAGTGCGTCGGCCGGGGATCGATCCCCGCACCATGTGCATGGTCGGCGAGCGTCCTAACCACTGTGCCACCGACGCACAATGAATTATTCTATATATGATATTAATTGTCTTACCACTTGACATTTACCTATGATTATAATCACGAAAATTTTAGTTTTAACTGCATTTCATATTATTATTATTTTATGCATTCACACCAATGATTCAATTCCCTCACCGGATATAACTTCTTAAAAAATACCATATATATACGATTGTACAGCTTGATGATAAATTCATTGAAAAGAGTCTCTTCGCTGAAGTGTGTGATGCATACCATCGGTCTTTTTGAAAGACATGTTGTAAGTGACTAAGCAGTTGTAAATAAAAAATCTTTTATAATACTTATTGTTTACAAAAACAAAGTCTAATACATGTTGTGAAATTTTGTCCATCATCAATCACGACGAGTACCTAATTACTTTATCTAAAGTGTCATTAGAAAATAAGACGAAATACATACTTCGAACATGCCTCTTTCCAAGCTTGAAATACTTTACATCTTCACTTTTCCTTCCGGATTCCTTTAAGACTATGAGGTAACCTTTGGAACAACGCATGTTCTAAATTTTACTATGGGAATCTTTAATATGAGTGAATAGAAGCTGATAACCCTTTTCACACTATCAGAATCAGTTACAGGGATACTCACCATTGTTTAATTTCGGAATTGACCCCCAATGACTCAGGGATTGACTTGTTGCCAGGATCAAGACTTGTCAACTTCGAGTATGCGGATGATACTGTCCTCTAGAATGAAGACGCTGATAAAATATAGTCTTCTGAGTACCTTGAGAAGGAAACTTCGAAAGCTTGGTATGCGATTCGCCCTTGTCAAACGGAAGATGAGACTGCGGAACTGGACTACACCGACTGCCAGCTTAACGACAGGAAGTGTGAAGTGGTGGGACGTGTTTGTTACTTCAATTATTCGAGAAGTTACTTTGGTCCTAATGAACTGATTGCTTATGAAATCTCAGCACAGACAGATACGAAAGATCCGTCTGTGTTATCTAAACTTAGTCATATTTAGCATAGGCGCGATACCTGGATAATGATCAGCGGACGTATGTACTGTGAAGCAGCATGCTCTGTCCCACTTTATGACTATGAGACGTAGGCTTTGAAAGTGGAAAATATAAAGGGGCTGCCTACATTTGACCACGGATGTTTGCGTTCTATCTCTTGTGTTAACTAGTATAACATGGCCAATCGATGAGGTTGTAAAGCTAAATCGACTGACATAGCTACGATACGTGTTACACATGCCTATCCACTGCCATAATCAATGCGCAATGTTAGCTGACATAGAATTAGATTGGCAGTGGTTAAAGCAAAATCTGGAATTAATCCATGAAGTCTTTCGATGTAGCATTATTCAGCAAATTAGAAAGGTATAGACTATCTGGATGGAGTCAACGAGGTGATAGGTGATATGAAGATCTATATATAGTTTGCCAATTGATTTTATCTTTTTTCAAACAAAGCCTACTAGGTGACATACGGTCGATATTTAGACTATCTATTGATTGTATCATTTCCAAATCAGATCAATATTATTATTTACTGCTAGTGAATATAAATATCCTCTCTCGTTGTGTACTCTCCTCATCCGTGATCACCGTGGCTTTACAAGTCACGCGATTTATAAGAACCAATGAGCTAAGGACCTGTTGATTTGACTCAAAACCATTTCGAATAGTACAGGTGGAGCATTCGCTTAATGTAATCTCCCAGATTCATTAAACCCCCACATGTTACTGTTCTTTCATTCCTCGTATTTCTGCTCATTTATAGTTCTTTGATTTGTATTTTGGTCTTTTCTATATGGAGTGGGACAACTTGAACTGGTGCACTCCTGTGTGTGTGTAAAGTTCTACGACGAAACTACGTCATCCACAGCCTATTAGATTCCAACGTGTCATTAAAGAATACAAAACGAAAAACTAGTCGTTTAATGATATATATGTATGTATATATGATGAAATTTATGTAAATATAAAATGCAATAGTAACACATCTGTGATTTCCCTATGAATTGTATACATACATACATGTATAATACTTAAAATCTTGTAATAATAATGATACATATGATGTCATCATTCTATGTTGTGAATACAATATACACAAAGAAATGAAATGAATTCATTTGTTTTTCTTAGAATAAGTACATCAAAGCAATCGGGATTTTTAGCCCTGGATTCGTAGAGTTGCTGCCATATCATTGATAGCCTTTGCTAAGCGTCTGGCATTATCGAATAAGTCAACTGGTTTCACATCTGCGACGACGACACGTAAACGATCTTCATCCTGTAAAACAATAACACACACACACAGAAGGAAAGAGAGAAATAAGAAATGTGTTCAAAACTTATTGTTAGTATGGACAAGTTTCTTTATTAGCTGTGGGGAGTAGTGAAGTCGACATGATAACCTCACTGGACAGTTTTGATTCGTTAATTCTCGCATTCTGCCTATTATTCTCTATTGTTCCCCCTCAGTTTCTCCCGGGCTACTGAAGAAAGACTATAACATATTACGCAGGATGTTAAAGGTTGTCAGCAGGGTAAGCAACGTGCCACTTAACCAGCTTGTTAATATTCTGGTTGACAGGCACTTGGACTCATGTGAAAAATGGGCCATATCCATTTTATCTAACTCACACCACCCTCTTCATTCACAACTCCCCCCTTGCATCTCATCAGGTAAAACCAGAAGCCTATATAGAAAACTATATGCCCGCACCAGCAAGTACAAAAGCTCAACCATACCCTACTTAGCTCGTGTTCTGTGTGATAAAGAAAGCATTAGGCGTGACACCTATAATTGATTGAATAGTCAGTAGTACAACTAGATCTCATCTTTCCAACCCACTTCATCAATAGGTACAACATTTCCTTTCTTTCTGTTCCTTTTCTCTCTCTTCTTTTTCCGTTATGTGCTGCTTTGTCTCTTTCTCTCGCTTACGCCAGTTAATAAGACAGCTCCCACTTTTCTAACACCTTCAAACACTGTTTCAGCTTTACCTTTGCTACTGACATGCCAATGTATTGTTGTAATAATGAACTGTGGTTTCCTCAATCTATGTAGAATTCTATTTATTGATAATGTACTAACTGGATGCAATACTGTAGTAAAAATGCTGAGAATTCCATTCTGTATCACATGTACTGTTTAGGAATAAAGCAAATTATTATTATTATTTATGGCTTAACTTTCTGAGGGTTTCGTAAATACAAGATACCATGTACCTTGTCTAGTAACAGTCATTTTTCCCACTCTGACTTTTGTGACTATGTCATTGTGGGAGATAGTTTTCAAGGGATCGGTTAGTTATGGTGTCGTGTTATGAAGGCGTATATTCTAGTCAAGTTAGACAAACGCAAAACCCAATGTATCTACCACTCGGGTATAAAATACTTATAACAAAAGCACACTCAAAATTCAAGTAATCAAACCACAGAAAAAAAATTCAAAACACTGTCATTAAATAGGTATGAATTACTCGCCGAACTTATATATTTCCCGATACATTGGAATTCTCTCATGGCAGCATTTTGAAACGAATTAGTCATATGAAAACTTTAAAGAAACGACAGCCAAGTTTTTTATTTGAATAACTGTTGCAGTTTATGTGAAACACCTAACTAACTAACTCATCTTAACACGTGGATTCATCAGCACAAAAAATCGCATAATATTTCAAGAATGTTAGAAATTTTTTAAAATCTATTCATTGCATAAAACTCCACGGGTAGATGGCGAAAATTTCCGTTTATACAAAAATTGTTGTTTATGAGCGTTTAAGATTACAGATGTGAACACACAATGACAGGCAGACAGGCAACAATACGACTTGATCACAAATTGTTTCATTTCATTGCACAATGAAGTGTGTGCATATTTTTGTAAGAGCAACAACAAAACATATTACGGATGAATTTACTTCAATCTGAAATCTAGCAGTTAATGGTTAAATAAATGCATCAGTGGTTCAAGGATATGATGATGCTCACGGCTCCAAGGTTTGACCCCCGGTCAACAGACTCCGAAACCTCGCACTTAGCCAGTAGTAAGCCCGGTAAAAGGAGAAGGCTGGACATCAGACTAGCAGTCCCAGAACCACTTGAAAACCGAGGAGTACTGAACATCTGTTTCGTCCTAGTCCGGGACTCTTCATCAGTGCGCACACACCGGAGTTCTGACCCAGGACTAGAACTTCAGTGAAGGTGGAATTAATAAGCCATTGGATCGGGTCCCAGTGGCTCTTCTTGTAACCTCAATGTACTGGGGTTCAAACCCTGATGGGTGGGTACTTCTGAAGAGTCCCGAACAAGGACGAAACAGGTGTTCAGTATTCCTTGGTAGTTTTCTAAATTTTATTTTGATAGAGTCTCACAGTGTTATACAGTAAAATTTACTGATGACGTTTCGAGCACAATTTATTGCTCATAATCATATCAAGGTAATCACACGACTTCCTAAATTCATTTATATAGTTCCATTATTTTTCACTTGATTTCCACTTGATTTGATTGGTAGTGTTATTTTCCATATTTCGGGTATTAGTGATGATTCATTCCTATTGCACGTGTTGGGTGTAGATTCGATGAACAAAGATTCAGTAATCAACCTCTCTCTCCACCTACCTAGATTACTTTTTAGAATTTTAACCCTCTCCCACCCTATTGTGTGGTTGTGTGTTAATGCATGCATTGCAATTGCCGAGCTTTTTTCTAAATTACTTATCTTTTCTGGGTCAACCATTCTTATCTTAGCTAAATTCTTATGTTCTGACAATCTGACTATTCCTGACCTACTAGTTTGACCTATGTAGTTGACCTCACAGTCATTGCAGGGTATTTTGTAAATTATATTATTTTGTCTAATTGGGTCCACTGGGTCCTTTAACCTACAGAGCTTGTCCCTGAGTGAGTTTGTAGGTTTAAATGCCACCCTAATTCCTGCTTTATTTAGAATCCTACGTAGGGTCTCAGATGTCCCCTCTTTATATGGTATAACTGTCGATGACTTATATTCTCTCTTATTTATGTTATCATTACTAGTTCCACAATTATTTTTATTTTTATTTTGTTTCTGGCCTTTAGTTATCTTCCTAATGAATTTTAAAGGATAATTATTCAAAACCAACGCTTCTTCTATCTGTTTTATCTCGTCGTTTAGGTCTTTTTTTGTGCTACTTAGTGCTATGGCTCGGTTTGTTAGACACTTAACTAAGCCTGCCTTAACAGTTAACGGATGCGACGAATTAAAATCTAAATATCTATTAGAATGCGTTGGTTTTCTATACACACTAGTGTGAAGTTTACCTTCTTCTATTCGTTTTATTTTACAATCTAGCATAGCCAACTCTCCTTGTTCATCTTCCGATTCAAATGTGAATTTTATCCCCTCTACTAGTGAGTTAATATGTGTCAAGAAGCTAGAGATATGTTCTGTTTTTAACACTGTGAAAGTGTCATCCACATATCTCCACCATATTTTTGGAGTAGGATTAAACGTATTAAGTGCCATATTTTCCCAGCTATCCATAAATATATCTGCTACGATAGGGGATATTGGTGATCCCATTGCTACACCTTCAGTTTGTCTATATATTTTGCCTTGGAATCTAAAGATAGTAGATGTGAGGCATAGCTGAACCCCTAAAATAATTTCTTCAATGGACAGCTTTGTCCTATGATTGAGTTCAGTATCCGCAGTTAGTTCTTTTTTAACTGCTTCTAAGGCCATATTGACTGGTATATTAGTATAAAGACTGGTTATATCAAAACTAACCATTGTTTCATCATTATCTAGTTGTATGTCATTTAGTTTATTTTTCATTTCATATGAATTAGTTAGTCTAGAATTTGAACGATTTCTAATGGGGCATAATATTAGAGCTAAATGTTTTGATAATTCATATGAAATGAAAAATAAACTAAATGACATACAACTAGATAATGATGAAACAATGGTTAGTTTTGATATAACCAGTCTTTATACTAATATACCAGTCAATATGGCCTTAGAAGCAGTTAAAAAAGAACTAACTGCGGATACTGAACTCAATCATAGGACAAAGCTGTCCATTGAAGAAATTATTTTAGGGGTTCAGCTATGCCTCACATCTACTATCTTTAGATTCCAAGGCAAAATATATAGACAAACTGAAGGTGTAGCAATGGGATCACCAATATCCCCTATCGTAGCAGATATATTTATGGATAGCTGGGAAAATATGGCACTTAATACGTTTAATCCTACTCCAAAAATATGGTGGAGATATGTGGATGACACTTTCACAGTGTTAAAAACAGAACATATCTCTAGCTTCTTGACACATATTAACTCACTAGTAGAGGGGATAAAATTCACATTTGAATCGGAAGATGAACAAGGAGAGTTGGCTATGCTAGATTGTAAAATAAAACGAATAGAAGAAGGTAAACTTCACACTAGTGTGTATAGAAAACCAACGCATTCTAATAGATATTTAGATTTTAATTCGTCGCATCCGTTAACTGTTAAGGCAGGCTTAGTTAAGTGTCTAACAAACCGAGCCATAGCACTAAGTAGCACAAAAAAAGACCTAAACGACGAGATAAAACAGATAGAAGAAGCGTTGGTGTTGAATAATTATCCTTTAAAATTCATTAGGAAGATAACTAAAGGCCAGAAACAAAATAAAAATAAAAATAATTGTGGAACTAGTAATGATAACATAAATAAGAGAGAATATAAGTCATCGACAGTTATACCATATAAAGAGGGGACATCTGAGACCCTACGTAGGATTCTAAATAAAGCAGGAATTAGGGTGGCATTTAAACCTACAAACTCACTCAGGGACAAGCTCTGTAGGTTAAAGGACCCAGTGGACCCAATTAGACAAAATAATATAATTTACAAAATACCCTGCAATGACTGTGAGGTCAACTACATTGGTCAAACTAGTAGGTCAGGAATAGTCAGATTGTCAGAACATAAGAATTTAGCTAAGATAAGAATGGTTGACCCAGAAAAGATAAGTAATTTAGAAAAAAGCTCGGCAATTGCAATGCATGCATTAACACACAACCACACAATAGGGTGGGAGAGGGTTAAAATTCTAAAAAGTAATCTAGGTAGGTGGAGAGAGAGGTTGATTACTGAATCTTTGTTCATCGAATCTACACCCAACACGTGCAATAGGAATGAATCATCACTAATACCCGAAATATGGAAAATAACACTACCAATCAAATCAAGTGGAAATCAAGTGAAAAATAATGGAACTATATAAATGAATTTAGGAAGTCGTGTGATTACCTTGATATGATTATGAGCAATAAATTGTGCTCGAAACGTCATCAGTAAATTTTACTGTATAACACTGTGAGACTCTATCAAAATAAAATTTACCCATAATGGAATGTAGAGATAATTGAATTTTAGCCTAACAATGAGAAAAAACTTACATTATATCGATCAACCTTAGCACGTAAACGAAATATCCATGAGTTAAATGCTGATTCCATAAACACCCTTTCCAAATGCGCTTCATCCTGTTAAATAAATAAATATACAGTAAGATTTATTTTAAAAGAAATACTATGAATGAAATCAATTGAGGTAAGAAAATATTCCGACTAGAAATAGAGGAGATTGAAGATAAGATATACTGTTTAATGCTTTCAAGTCATAACATTTAACTGTGGACGATTTATCGGAAAGCTTAGTGATATTTTTTTTCATTTTACTGAACGAACCTAAATGATAGATTTTCGTCGACTTACCCGCTTAAAGGACAGATGCCTTGTGGTATCATTAGTTTCATTGCTACCTAATGTGCAAGTACTGGAAAAAGAGAAACGAATCTTTTTGTACTTAAGAATGGACTGACAACCTGACGCACCTGCACTTCTTTGTTTGTGCATGGGTTTACACTGAGGCTAGAGTATAGCATTCATCGTTTCAAACATCAAAGCGTTATACATCAGTCTAATAAACCCTAAGAACACCTTTTCCGCCACCTTGCCACAGTGATTGATTTTGCATAGAGCAATCATCCAACAACCTGGCTTGAAGTAACACTTTTGAAGGCCTTGTCATGTCGAAAGAATAGGTTGGATAAAAGGAGTCATCTTGTCGTAAAAACGAAAATGCTTAACATGTGGTTACAATATCAGTTGACGCTAAGCCTCCCGGAACGGAATGCTAAAGGAGTATATTGCACTAATCAAGACGCTCAACTCAAACATTTGATGAACAAAGGATTCAGTAATCAACCTTCTCTCTCTCTCCACTTACTTGTACTACTTTTTAGGATTGTAATTTTTTCCCACCTATTTTTTTTATTATTGCATGCGTTTTGATTGCTTAATTTTTTTTGTAAGTCAGTCATTCAACACTTCGCCATATTTTTACGTTCCCATAATCTGACTACCCCCAATCTAATGGTCTGACTTACGTAGTAGACATCAGTCATAGCAGGGTATTTTGTAGATTACATTATTTTGTCTAGTTTGGTCAAGAGGGTACTTTCGCCTATGGAGTTTGTCCATGAGTGAATTCCATGAATTCCCGCCTGACTAAGAATCCTATATAGGTGTCAGGAGTTCCTTCCTTATATCGTAAAACTGTAGATGCTTTAAATTCTTCCTTATTTATGTTATGATCAACAGTTCCACTACCATTTTGCATTTTCCTTGAGAATTTTCGTGATCTTTTCAATGAATTTTATAGGACAATTATTTAACACCAACGCTTCTTAATACCTGTTTCATTTCATCATTCAGGTTTTTTTGATGTATTACTTAGTGTTATTGCATAGTTTGTTTACAGATAACGGATAAAATGAATTAAAGTCTAAATAACTATTAGAGTGTGTTGACTTTATATAAACGCTAGTGTCTCTGTCACATATTAGATGAAGTTACAAGACTTATCTAAATGAAGTCTGAGTTTAAGGATAGGAAGTAAAATCGTTGAACGTATTGATAACTTCATTTATTTGAGAAGTCACATCAGCTTTAACGGACTAATTGTTGACAAAATCGAAGCACGAATACAAAAAATTAACTAGTTTCCATCTTACATCATCTTTGGCATGGAAGTGACAGGTATTTTTGTTCAACTGGCCACATAAGATGGAGCTAAATGGTTATTTGTAATGATTTTGGAAGAAAAACGTTAGATAGGGAAGTAAAATGGATTTGAATCTGTTGAAGCACTGTCTACCTCAACCAGACACATCGAATGGTGTAGAATTAGGTTGGAAAAGAAGACTAAAAACAAAAGTACTAACTAAAGAAGTCCTTAACTGCTAGTATAAGCCAAATAGGGGAGCATGGTCTACGTTGTCAGGATCCTTCAAGTGCTGGAAATCAGTAGTGCTTGAATAATCAAAATCGTTCGTAATGACGCAAACGTACACACTCTTTTCATAGGGCTCAGTTTAACTATTCTCTTCGATGCACACATATTACTGTGTGCCTGTAACACTGTTTCAGTTCACTTCAAGTACTCCTTGAAAGTTCATCGTGTACAACAACCTTCGGGGATTTGTTGGAATCACTAACATATAATAGATAAAATTTGAAAGTCAAACTCTAATCTCAAAAAAGCATAAAATAAATTATTATGTTAGACCGAACACACATACATATCGTAATCCGAAATTGCTTACAATCATCAAAATATTTCGATGTACTTACTTCTGCCGACTTCATAGCACCTAATTTTTCAGCTGTTTGACCGAGTAAAGCTTCTGCAGCATCTTGGAAACATGTAACCCATAGATCACCGGTAACGTCAGCTATTTTGGCCTACAAAAAAGTATGCAATAATTCAATTCACGTAAGGTACATTCTAGTTAACAGAATATAGAAATTAGTATCCTGGCCACAGCATTTCACACTACTATACACTGATCTTCTGTAATAACAGGCTAGATCTCTTCAATTCATTTAGTGCATCGGTGGCACAGTGGTTAGGACTCTCGCCGACCATGCACATGGTCCGAGGTTCGATCCCCTGCCGGCGCACACCCGATATCTATGGTCGGCCTGCAAAATTTGGGCTACCGATATCCATGCTGAAAATTCCACAATTGTACTGAAAATACCGTGTGGAATCAAGCTGTAAATCAAAATCAAAATAAATAAATAAATAAAATAAAATTCACGCCCTACTAAAATCTCATATTTTTTCTATGGAACTTTTTAAACTATGAAATATCATTATCGGTCCTTTAGCAATTTCATACAAAATATTACGAGTAAATTGGAAACTTATCTCCAAATTAAGTACTATGCGTAATCCATCTATCAAAATTTAATTGTACCAAAGTAATTAGCTTCACTTAGCGTTTCAAGTTAGAGATCAAGTAAGGTCTGAAGAAAGAAAGAAAGTACGCTGTTGTTGGAGGCCTATGGTCACAGAAACTCCCTTCAACGTAGGATGGACGATCCACTGTCATCGAAAGATGTGGTCCTGCTCACACACCACCACCACCATGAGAAGAGGAAACAAACAGCAACGTCTTCACGCTAGCCAACTTCAGAGATGGATACTCTGGAAATCAACATAAAACAAAAGATGACCACATCTAGAAGGTCGGATCGGCTCACACTGAAACTTTTATCAGGCGGACGGATGTGGCGCCTGCCACTGACAAGATTTTGTCAGCAGTATATTGTGTCCGGTATCTTCTGCAAGAATATTGGATAGCAGAGGGATGGATTAAATGGCAAAGAGGAGAAATGAAAAATCCTTGTGCATCAACATAGGAAATATGAAAGGATGACAAAAGAAGCACAATACGGAGAATATGTACACAAATGGTGATTTTAATGTAAGGTGTATGTATTTCATTACGGAGAAAATTTTATTTTGACAAAATCACACAGTATTGGTGTACAGTAATATTTACTGATGACCACGTTTCGAGAACAAATTATTGCTGCTCGTAATCATATCAAGGTACTCGCTCACACACAACTTTCTTGCTTCATTGATATACATGAGTAAAAATTGATGATTAGACATATGAAAAAAATCAATATAAGATAAAGTACATTCAGATATAATAATATTAGCGTTATCAATAAAATACAATAAGATGGGAAATAAGATGTTTTATAGTAAAAATAAATAAATAACTTTTTAGAATGTGAATTGAATACAATTTAACATTATTTATCATCCTCTGATTTGACTGGCAATAATCTGGTAATCATCCATATCTCTGGTATTTGCGTTGAATTACTTATATTGCATGTGCTTGTGAGGTGTAGACTCGAATAACAAGGATTGTAACCAATCTCTCTCTATCTCCACCTACCTATATTACATTTCAGAATTTTAACTCTGTCCCATCCTATTGTGTATTTGTGTGTTAATGCATCCAGTGCGATTGCTGAACTTTTTTTCCATTTCCTTATCTTCGCATGGTCAACCATTCTTACCTTAGCTAAATTTTTATGTTCCGACAAACTGACTAACTTCGACCTACTAGTTTGACCTATGTAGTTGACTTAACTCACAGTCATTGCAAGGTATTTTGTAAATAATATTATTTTGATTAATTGGATCCACCACTGGGTTTTATCGTTATATATCGGTGTATGCATTTCACCCTATCTTTACAGCAATTTGCTAATCGACAATTCCACTACCAAAAACGAGTGTCTTCTGCTGTTACGTTAATATCAATACTTCTACGTCACTGGTCCCATTTGAAGCTACTATTTTGCATAACCAATTGCAGACACACTAAGTTGAACCACCTTCACAAAACGATCAATCGCTGATCACTACTTTCATTACTTGTCCCCATGAATTCTAATTTACATCCCAGTATATAAATTCTGGTTAATGAAGGCGTGAACAGGGGAGTGCGCGCTAAATGATATGTTTAGTAACTACTGGTATTTTTATCACAAAAGAAAATGACAGCAGCAATAAGATCACTCTTTTTGTTTCCTCGTGCACTGGCACCTACAGAGTCAGTTACCTTTTATAGGAAGGAGCTATGCTAAATTTATACTCACTATTTTAGCCAAAAGTTAACCACCGAAAATTCGACATGTATTATAAATAGAAATCAGAATTGTAAGAAGATGAAATCACAGCTAGATAAACTGAAATAAATATTCATTGTTGATGCAAGCTCTAAACTATCTTTTTCTAAAAGAGACATGGAGTTAATTTCCAACTGAGGTAACACCATACGCCTTAGTTTTAAGTTTATAATCAATGATTGTCAATCAAAAAATAAATTGTGTTCATTAGTAAACAAAACCAATGGGCATTTAATTAAATCAAATTAATGAAGTACAGTAGTTAGAGAAGAATAATGAACATGCATTAATGTTAAACTGAAAACCATGAGAAGTTATACTGCTTAACTAATTATGCCAGGAGGATGTGAAACAACCACTACACGTGATGACACTTAACTCACATTCTAAAACTAGCCACTGGAAAGGCACAAGCATTTCGTGAGGGATAATACCCTTCCTGTGTGTAAAACCGTTATGGACGATTATAGACTAACCTCCACTACCACCATGTATGTACGCATCGTCTCTTACTCGATGTCGAGTCAGTCTTTCATCCATAAGGACCCACTTTATTTATATTCAATCGTAGCAAAGGAAGATAAACAAAAGTGCACCGAATCAGTGATTATTCAAAGAACTGAGGTAAAGCTTCATCCAAGAAGATGGTGCACGATTGACGATGTCAGGGAACACCACAGTTCTAAATCGGCCCAAAGCGAGCAAGCTATTGATCGTCGGTCTTTGTAATGAGGGGCTGCTATGGGTGACTACAGGCCAACTCGATAGTCTACCAACCAGAATTTAAATCGTACAAATATTAACTATCCATTTGTTAGTCCAACAAACAGCCAGTCTCATTTCAACATTTTTGACAGATGACCTATAACACTTTTTGAAGATTACTATGATAAAAGTTATATCGCTATTGCTATTATATGTTGCTCGCTATTGGAATACACATCCCAATATCATTGTTTCAGTCTTTTTAATTACTAGTGGAGAGCAGGGAACCCGAATGAGAAATTGTACAATATTTATTATTGTTAAGTTGTACTCATGTGAATATTTAGTGACGATATTGAAATTACAAGTTTTCCAGTTATCAATTTTATTGCCCTGATCATTTCAATAAAAAATCTAAAGATTAGTATTGTTCGATTTTAATTTTTTTGTGAGGAGAATAAGTAAACTATTAATTCCTAGAATGCCTATTACAGCCAAACATTTTAATTATCTAACACAAATGAAGACTTCACGTTCAAAACTGACAGTGTGGGGACTAAATGATTATACGTGAAATGATGGATATCGTTCCATTCGCCTTGTATGACCGCTTAGGCATAAGTGGTTGTACCAGTACCAGGTGTGTGTTGTCGTTGATGCTACCTTTAGTAGAATTTCGAAAGGAAAAAACAAATGGTTATCTGTGCCACTTTCAGTTGTCAAGATGTTTGTCTTGTCATCGAAGGTTGTGTTTAAGACGCGTTTTAATTCCATACATGAGGATTTTGCCTTTTCTTGGCTAAGGATGTTCAGGGACTGTATAATTACCATTATATCATTGATGTAGTAAATACATCAATATTTGATAAAACTATTCGTTGACCAAATTGCAACTCTACGCATTATCATCGAACAAGGCATGGAATGGCAATCAAACCTCTACCTCAACTTTATAGACTTTGAGAAGGCCTTCGACAGCGTTGACCGCGAAGTAATTTGGAAACTACTCGAGTACTACGGCGTACCCCAAATATTCATCAACCTTATTCAACAGCTGTACGACAACGGCACATGTCAAGTGATCCACAACGGAAAACTCAGCGAGGCGTTTGGAGTAAACACAGGAGTCAGACAAGGGTGCTTATTATCACCAACGATGATATTCCTAATTGTGGTGGACTGGATTATGCGTCAGACAGTGGGAAATGAAAAGAAAGGGATATCCTGGACCGACGTGAAGAATCTAGAAGACCTGGATTTCGCAGATGATTTATGTTTGATGTCACACAAAATCGAAGACTTACAAGCGAAAACCGACAAACTGGTCGAAGAAGCAGCAAAGGCAAGACTCCAGGTGAACATAGACAAGACGGAGGTTATGAAAATAACCAACCAACAACAGCATCAGCAACATCCAGCGCCAATCACCATCAACGGGAGGGATTTGAAAGAGGTTAGTTCATCCACTAATCTTGAGAGTACTGTCTCAACTACAGGAGGAACGGACGAGAATGTCAAATCGAGAATCGGGAAGGCGAGAAACACATTCATCAACCTGAAACCAATCTGGAAATCTTCGTCACTCAGCCTGCATAAACAACAAAATTCGGATTTTCAATACAAACGTCAAGTCAGTTCTATATGGATCAGAAACTTGGCGGGTCACAAAGAATATTTCCAACAGGTGGCAGTCGTTTATCAACAACTGTCTTCGTTCTATACTGAAGATCAGATGGCCGGAAAGAATCACCAACAAGAAACTATGGGAACAAACAAAATAAGAACCAATCGCCCAATAATAATAATAATATAGTGAGTTTATCACTTTTCTTGTTCTAACTACCTATATGATGAACAGTGTAGGATGTCTTAGAAAGGAAATGTTTGATTAAAAAAATTAATTGAAAGGCCATGGCTTGTCCATTTACGCCATCAACTGTACATAATGTAGCCACTGAATGTAGACAATCCTGTCCTGTATAGAATGGTAATTACACAGTCACTGGACACCCTTAGCTAAGAAAACGCAAAATCCCTTC